AGGTGCCTACATAAATATCTACAGACTGAAGGTGGGATCTGGTGATCCACCTGATGCTCTAGACATAACACCAACAGCCATGGACAATGTTTCAAAACCATATACACACACACACACACACACACACACACAGATATATATATAATTGACAAAATACACAGAGAAGCTTGAAAATCAAAACTAATAACAGTCAACTACAGCTTAACTCAACTCTGATGAGTTACCTGCAAATGTACTAGTTTAAAACCCAAAGACATATCGACTAATGTATTCTAGAATATGAAATTACAGAATTAAGAAGAAAACTTCCTAAAAGATTTTACAGTAAAAAAAAAATTATATATAATAAGGAAGTGATGTTAGGTATAGCTTCCAAAAGAAACAGTGCCCAAGACCTGGAAAGTCTAACCTCTACCCTGGCTGAGTTTTTCCTGTCCTCCCTTGTTTTTGACATTGTTGATGATAGTTTACAGGAACAGAATACGCTAGCAGAATCAAGAAATTTAACGTTGGGCTGAGACTTGTGTAAGTCAATTAGCTAACTTACTGATTAAATGTCATATATTTTCCCAAAAAACATTTGTCTAACCAATGAATAGCAAAGGTGATTTCTTGTTTGAGTATAACACTCTCACAAAATTTTGTTCTTGATTCTTAATACATCTTGTTTTAAATATATAGTATCTGACTGTTAACAGTGATGTCAAAAGAAAAAACACAGAATCATGTAAAAACTACTGGTTCTGGTATATTGCTGACTATATTATTATAGAAAAACTTATTTATCAAATCTGGATATACTTTCTATTATATATGTGTATGGGAGTGTGGGGATTTATGTATGTTTACACACGCGCACACACACACACACACACACACACACACAGAGGAAGGAAATAAAACAGGGAAATTAACATGCATCATTCTCAGCCCTGCCTATTTAATGATAATTGAAAAATATGTTTTTGACCTTATAACACTATGTTGCTTGCAAATTAAATGAACATTATCCTAGGAGCATGACCAAGTAAAGATACTTGAGCTAAAGAATGAATGAATAATTCTATTTAAGAGATTTGCATTCAGGCTCCAGACTCAAATTTAAACCATGTTTACATGGGTTTTGACTAATATAAAACGTTTTTAAGAGTGCACTTAATTAAGGACCACAAAGACAGAAATAATGCACATGAGCAACAGGAGAAAACATTTTTAACATACTCTTGCCAATGTTGACTTTGTTGGACTTTGTCTAATTTAAACCATGAGGATGATGTATCTACGAGAACATCGAAACTATTACTGAATACTTTAGAAAGCCCCTGCCCAATTTTACAAGTTAAATTAGAAAATAGCTTTTCAGATCATGTTTAACTTGAAACTAAAGAGAAGAATTTTTTTTTTTTTTAACCAAAGTAACATACCTCCCTGAAACGTGTGACAAATGTAATCCCCAAAAGAAATCTCCTTCCACAGTCCGGGCCTTCGGACACTTTCTGAAACTTCAAAATTCTTCTCAATTTCTCCAGTTAATTGAAGCATTCTGATGCTTTGTCTTTGGAGGTCTTATTTCTTTGGATAAGACTGCTGTTGTCTAGTGTCTTCCAAGTTGTCTAGTGTATTGGAATCACATAGCATAAGTCTATTTTGAAAGAGAATCCTAGATGCAAATTGAAATGGATACTAGATAAAGAATGATGTAATCTTGGAACCCCTGTGAACACTAAAAATACATAGGGAAACTCTGAACTGTTTATGAATAAATACTCTATTAAAGTGACAATCCCAGCAGTGACAGGGATATCTGACTCATTACTTTTGTAGCATCTCACAATTAAGGTGAATAATTTCTTGAAAGAAATGGAGACTAATCTCTACAAAGCACGAGACTGTAAAATGTTTTACCCAAATCTTGAGATTTCATATTATAATAATGTTTGTTTGCAGTGCTTTGCATGGTACCACATACAAATGGGTTTAGTGAAAGGTTTTTCCTGACAGCAACAAGTTGTTAATCAATTTCAATTGCAAATGGCAGCACAAAAATATACACAGCATGCCATGTTTGCTGCTTAAAATCAAATTTATTGGTCATTCTATTTCCTGAGGAAATTGTTTTGTTAGAATGTTCATTGTTAAAGTTTGATTAAACATATTAAATACAATAATCCTATATAAGTAGTTCTTTTGGCCTGTAGAAATGAGGTTTCTCAAAATACTCTTAGTAACTAGCAACTACTCTATTTACCTCTTGAATAATAACTGTTAATAGATCTACTAACTTGCAAAAATAAAGCTGAAAATCCTTCACAAATTGATGCAGCCTACAGCATTTGCCACTTTAAATGATAGACAATGTTTTAAAACTACCCACTCAAAACCAAAGTATACATAAAATCTGCCTTCTAGAAATACTATTCATATGAATTATCTAGGAGGGGTTTGTAAGTATTGGGAACAAATTCATGTACTTTTACCTGAAATTCCACCATAGATCTCTTCTGCTATCCTAGCTGCTTCTTTTCTATTTCCTTTGACGACATAGAAATGGGTTAGGAGAGCCAAAAAAACCTTAATTAAAAGCTTGAAGAAAAAAAAGGTAGCAAACATTGTAATAAAAACGTTTTTAAAGCCATAGAAAACAGGACCGTCTTCCATTTTAGCTTATGCTCTGCATAGGGTCCTAGGACTGTAAAATTTCACTGAGTTGTAATTGGTATCATATGACATCTATTTTAAACCTTCTAGCACTCGGTGCTCCTGTTACCGAGTACTCAGTTTGTAGGTTCTAATCTAACTGTGATTTGGCAAGTGCATGTGCTGACATCCATAGCAATGCTAAACAAACTAAAGAAACGTCCTTCTAACCAGAAACATCCAATAGTTCTAGAACTACATTACTCAGTACTATCTAACAAACAGGATTCATGTCCAGACCTTTTTTACTCCTAAACCCCTATTTTTGCTATATTATGTTGGAAGGCAGGGTTGGAAAGATAAAAGAAGCTTCTCGGACCCTAAAGAAACAAAGCAAGCTATTTGATGTTCATACAAAGAAGTGCAAATATACTCTATGTTCTTAGTGGGAAATACTATTCCCGGGAAAATTTCATTTTCTCTTCATTTCGAGGTTTATGGAGGATTAAGTCCAAATCTAAAATATGACTAGTTGAAAAAGATAATTTACTCTAAGGCAGTATTTACTAAAAGGCCCATCTTAGATACCTCTCCAAGTGAAAGTGTCAGACTGGAAGCCTTGGACTACTCCCTGTGGCAGCTTCATCGATGACAAGGTCCCACTGCAAGGTTCCCTCCTGACCACTCACTTCCATTACAAGCATCGGTAAACATGGTGCCTCTTTCTGGAAAGTGTGGGCTATCTTTGACCATGGAAGAGTCAAAAAGAAATGGATGAAACAGATGCCCTAAGTTCTGGGTGAAGTACCCAAAGATTCCATGAATCAACCCTCCATAGCTGGGCAATATTCTCTCATCAGCTGGCCAACACAAGTGAAATCGGTTTATTTTTAATTTTCCTCATCACTCTATGTCTCTTCCTTCACTCTCTCTGCTATATTTTGTAAATTTCTGAAATCTATTGAAAAGGCAAGCCAAGATCAAATTATACGAGCAACTAAATAAATCTATTTAATAAATGCTTTATGAAAAATGTAGGAGTTTCTCACAATGACCGCCTCTGTAAAAACTGTTTCACTATTCTGTTAAAAAGGCTGACACATTAGAATACAACCTTAAGCCACAATATATAGCTCATCCATTTCAGTATATCACCGCGCTATAAAGATACTGTATTGTTGTCACTCACACAGAACAGATATTAACATATAAAATTTACTGAGCTTAGGCCAGGTGCGGTAGCTCACGCCTGTAATCCTAGCACTCTGGGAGGCCGATGCAGGTGGATTGTTTGAGCTCAGGAGTTCGAGACCAGCCTGAGCAATAGCGAGACCCCGTCTCTACTAAAAATTAGAAAGAAATTAATCGGACAACTAAAAATATATAGAAAAAATTAGCCGGGTATGGTGGCACATGCCTGTAGTCCCAGCTACTTGGGAGGCTGAGGCAGAAGGATCGCTTGAGCTCAGGAGTTTGAGGTTGCTGTGAGCTAGGCTGACGCCACGGCACTCTAGCCCGGGCAACGGAGTGAGACTCTGTCTCAAAAAAAAAAAAAAAAATTTACTGAGCTTAGATTACCTGGTAGAACACCAGTGTATGAAAATACGTGAATACGAGTATTTCAGCTCTTTTCATGTATCTCTTTCTTTGATTGTACTCTAGGTAGGCAATCATCTACTCATGTCAGACCAGTGATGTATATTATATTATAACATTATTCATGCTCGTCTTGGTCTTAATTCTCATTTAAAACATGGCTGTCCTTTTTGTTTTACACACCAAAAACACTGGTCATCAACTCAACTTTTTTAGGGTTCAAATGGAAGGCTATACTATTTCTGAGAGACAGTCTTTGCCACATTTGAGCATTACATTTTAGATGGACATAAAAGGCTACTGATAGAAGGACAGTTGATTCACAGTGTATTTTACAAATGAAATAAACAGCACCAGCTTTGTCAGCCTCATCACTACTGATGTTTTGGGCCAGATATTCTGTTGTGGGGGGCAGTCCAGAGCATTGTAGGATGCTCAGCAGCAACCCTGACCTCTACCCATTTGATGCCAATGTCCCACCTCCATCCAGTAGTATTAAATATCAGAGATGTCTCCAGAAATTACCAGAAGTCCACTGGGGGGACAAAATCATCCCCCTCACCCTACAGTTGAGAGTTGAGAACCACTAAGCCATACCCAGAAATAAATGATAAAGTAAAATAACCTCTCCAAAGTACTATAGAATACAAATCAAATTCTGTATAGAACTTAAATTTTCATTTCATAAAATCCAGCCACAGGATGATACAATTTAACATCAAGCCACATTTCTTTGGGGATGTAGAGATGGCTAAAGAGGCCTTTAAAAATACTTTACAAAAGTAAACCCAGACCCATAATACCCTGACTATGCCAAAAATAAGTTTTGGTGTAAGATAAATCAAAACATATGAATGTAGGTGACTGCTTTCCACTGCTTCCAACAAAAGGGGTGGGGGAAGCTGGGCTTCTGTAAATGAAGTCAAAATTCAAATTTCTCTCAAAATAGCTGGCAAGATAGAAAGTACAATTATGTAGTTCACACATACAATAGTTTGTAGATGATTTCATTTGTCTCACGTGATAACTCAACAGCAGTGAAAAACAAAAAAGTTTGTTTGGATCAGGAAACAAACTTGCTACTCCATGAGTAAAAGAGAGAATATACTCTAGAAGTAAAAAGATGACAGAGTAATTCATCATCTGAAGGATGTTTCCTGTTTTACTAACAGACCAAGCAATGCACCAAATTGCACTGGAAAAGAAAGTGTGGGCAGGGGGACTCTGTTCTACTAGTAAGTAATAACCTGTTCATAAAACAAGACAAACTCAGAAAATTATCAAAATGTTATTCTGACCTTTATTTTTGGACATGTAGCATGTTTTAACTAATCAGTTTTACATGTGCAATCTTTCGTAATATCCGAAGAAATACAGTATGTTTTTAATAAATTCCTCATCACTGTAAGTTCATTTTCAAATAAATGTAAGTAGCAGGGTAGAACAATGTGTTTCCACATGCTGATCAGTGCAACACTGACAGTTACAATTAAGGTATCCAGGAAAGTTGAAAATAAAGATTGACGTAAGACAAATAAATTTACTTTCATTTGTTAAAAAAAGGGGAAAAATGAAAATTACATAGTTTACATGCAAAGGCAACTAATTTTAAATCTTATTTCAATCTTAAATACATGACAACTTAAGAATTAAATGATGATTTTTAAAAAAATTAAGAAGCAAAAAATATAAGAAAAAATGGAATGGTAGTGTACCTTTAAAAACTGCTGAGTAGAATAAATCAAATCAAACGTTACAGTTTCTCACTTTACCGTGAATGTTGGCACGGTTTGTTTCATGTTTATACATGAGTTTCTGTGCATAAAAACCCAACGAGACTGGTTTGGATCAGTCCATTTTTCTCCAACAAAAAGAAACTCTAAGTTCTAGATTTTAAAAATTATACTGTTGCATTTGTGTTTTAGTACAAACAAAACACAAATATATTTCTTTTACATCAGTGCAACCAGTTAATAGGCATGTTAAGATACTTTTTAAAAAGTAAGTTTTGTGAATGTTGTCATCTAAAAAAATTCTGTACAGAATCATAATACTGACAGCATCAATCTAGTGCACCCACGAGTGTCTCATTGTTTTAATTTCACAGTCCTTTTCTCACAAAAACTTATTCTAAAGAGTTCAAAGAATTAATAATACACACCATGTGGATAATTTGGGGTTAAAAAACCCATGGCTCTGGGCAACAACAATTATAATTAACAACATCCACCCACAAAGAGGCTGCATTCCTAAAATTTTCAGACTTGATTTGCCATAAATAAAACATTCTGGAGTAAAGCCATTTGCACACTGACAATACTTATCAGACATCAGCGAGGCCATAGTGAAGGGTAGTGACTCATACCAAAAGGACAGGGTAGCAGCTGGTTTTGAGATGGCACACCTCATACATTCTGCTCAGAAAACACGAAGGCATTTACAGAGGACTAAATTATGCACTGAAAAATGTGGAGGGTTTCTCTGCGCTATCATCAACAGTGATGTCGGTCCCTAGTATTTGAAAAAAAAAAAAACATCTTCATAAACACAACTGAAGACGAAGGCTCTACCTGGGAAAATGCATACAACAGGATCAAAGTACTAGGAGTGTGTCGGTGATTTTTTTCCTGGTATTAACCAGCCTGAGCATTTTTGGCATGTTGGACATTTTACCATTTCATGTCAACCATGACTACAATGAAGTAAGCCATTTGAATGATAAACTATGAATACACCCCTGGTCCGTAAAGGCAGAAGTATCTGGTTCAACATTCTACACATAGCAGGTGCTCAAAATGTGCTGGTAACTAATGAACCATCTTACTCAAGAAACCTGTTGATTATATGGAACACTTACTGAGTGGACCCAATAAATGTTTAAGAATATGACTTAGATCTCTAATAAATGTATATGAATGTGACTTAAAATAGTTCATATAGTTGTTGTACTTCCCTAAAGAAAACTTGTAAACATCTGGTGAGTGTCTAATTAATGTCTAATGGTTTAACAGTAAAAATTGGCCAAAAATGCCCAGAAAACGTTTGGCCCTTCAGCACCCAAAGCTCTCAAAATATAATGTTAAAACATCTCTGCTAGAGGGATTTCAGTAGTCTGAAAAATTTCATACCTGAGTGGCTTAAATGTTCTCTCCTAAATTTTAAGTAAGTGCAAGGAGTTTCTACACTCAGGAATTGCATAAGTTTTTATCTTTCCTCAAAAGAAAACATTGAATAATATAGAGGTAGCATAACTTACTAAATTAACTTTAAAAAACGAAAACCCAAAAAAGCAAGGTTATTTTCAATAGTCTTAATAGAACTATTACAAATGCTTAAAATCTTACAATCCAGGGTTTCTTCTACCTGGTTTTAGATATCTCATTATTCTCATGCCGCCTCTTTCTGTGAGAATATTGATGAGTCCAGGCACCTCTTGGCCCGGTGGCATCTATTGCAACATCAATGATAGAATCTGGAGTCATCCATTTCAGGAAAACGAGGAAGAGGAAGTTGAGAACAGCCAAGAAAGCAAAAATGTAGCCTGTTACTGGGCCGCAGTGAGAGATAAGTCTGTCCAGTCGTCTTTTCATTGGCAACACAGCTTCCACTGACACCCGGTCATACACCTGGCAGGAGAGAAGCCAAGAATGAGCACTCTGAGCCCATCACCCATCACATACCAAACAATGACCTGCTCCCGCAGGAACCTTTTATAAATACATGCAAAGAGAAGTTGCTCACATTTTGTTGTTGTTACAGTAATGATGTCCTTAATGAACTTAATCACAATAATTACTGCCATTTGATTCGACCTTATTGGGCACTCATCCTGGGCAAAATGCTGGGCTAGACACTATGTGATACAAAGAATAAGCCACAGTTCCTCGGGAAACACCATCAATTACAGCCTGGAATTCCAAAGTCCTGCAAAGTCTGAATAGCTTTTTTGGTCACCAACTGTAGGGGTGATATTTAATTCAGCAATGATTTCAGCAGTGCTAAAGCAGGATTGGCCTTTGAAGATTCCTTGACTCAGCTGAGACAGTTCTCACTGGCATCTGGCAGACATCAACCACAATCAGAGAGCCACAATCTAGTGTCCTGCTGGGTACACCTCTTTCAACACGTGCATGAAGCCATCCATGTTGCTGGGCACAAATGGAATGGATTTCAAATAAAAGAGGGGAAAGAGATATGGAAAATTCTAATAGATGGTATAGGTCAAACACTGGCAAATGTAATAAAGTTTATTGCTGAAAACTGGCAGTAAGTGGCTTGCTTTTTTGAAAACACTGCTAAGTGCTAAACTCTAAAATATTAACAAAGATCTTTAAACATACTTGTTTAGAATACCTCAAATGGGCCAGCATTCTTTTTTTTCAGTTGTATTTGAGCATTACTTGTGCTTAGTCTCACATATCTGACCTGTAACAGTCTTCTTCTGAACTCAAGAAAGTTTTAAGATCCACTGCAAGTTCTGCAGGTCAATGACCTTTGAAAGGTACAGCATATTTACATCCAGCTCTTTTATCCTGAGAACATTTTGACTATAAACATTTTAATCAGAATTATGTTGAGAATTATGCTAACACTGGTGAATTGTAACTGAAAAAGTATGTTTACAGCATGAACTCCAATTTAATTTCACAGTC